GGGACGTGGGACGTGGGACGTGGGACGCGGGACTGGGACGCGGGATATGGACGTATAGATTTTGAAATACAATGTACTACGACGAAAAAATCCTTGTTTTGTTTTGTTAAATTGAAAATAAACCGATAAATACTCACATGACTGCTTTATATCCTGACAACAAAACTCTTGGATCAATAAAATTGAGTTGCTTAGTAGGTGTTTTCATCGCCATTTCTTTCCAAGTTTTCACAGTTTGAAAACCTCTGAGCCAGCAAAACTTGATAGTCAATATACCGCATTACACAGGGAGCCCTAAAATCATCATTGCGGAGATGGCGGACTTCAATCAGGTGAGCGACTCGAGTAGCGGTAAGGATTTAACCCATGACCTCTATTAATCACACCCTTCTGTGCAAGTATAATTTGTTAGGCTGATGTACACTGTATTTATAGTCTTAAGAGAGTACAGACTGTTGTTTTTGTTTTGTGTTAAAAAGGTTTGAATTTACACTCACACTGCTACTATGATTTTGATATTCTCCTTTGTCCATTGTGATTAATTAAGATGAACAACTTTGATTTACAACCAGTGCAGTCTGGAAAACCAAAATGGAAAGAACTTGCCTTGAATTCAGATGATTTTGAGATATGCTTTTAATCATTGGCATAGTAAGTTATAACGATAGATAATAAACAAACAAATACTGAACGTTTTCCAGAAGCAGTAGCCAAAGTAAACTTAACACAAGATAACAGAAATAGTATTTCGTGAGAAACGTGATGGTCTAGTGGTTAGGGGACCGGACTCAGGTMTRAAAGDCCCGGGTTCGATTCYCAGACCGGRCGATCACGTTGTGTCCYTGGGCAAGATACTTTACTCTTTCACTGCCTCGTCTTCTCGGATACGGACGTAAAGCCGGAGGTCCCGTCTGCTTTCAATCTAACACTGTTATAAGGGGGACGTAAAAGAACCACTGAGGACGTAAACAAATCTCTGGCAGTGACCACCCTCAGTGACTAGCTTTATTTGTGTAATAGCTTTATTTATATTTATCGGTTTATTTTCAATTTAACAAAACAAAACAAGGATTTTTTCGTCGTAGTACATTGTATTTCAAAATCTATACGTCCATATCCCGCGTCGCAGTCCCGCGTCCCACGTCCCACGTCCCCGTCCCGGTTTTACGCGATCCCACGTTTCGAAGTCATCTTGACTTATATGTCGTACAACAACAATAGTAAGAAAAACAAACAATATGTCAAATAGGTGTTTCGTATTTCAGTAAAAATATGATTGTTGCAGCTAGGATTCATGATTAAAACATATATGTAGTTGTCTCTAGCTTAGTTTTTTATTCAGACGTTTCGATCTGCTCTCAGATCTTCTTCAGTGCAAAAAAATTAATTCCGTTACAATTGTTTGCGCGCGTATTGATGGTTTTCAACCATTCCCATGAGAGTGAGCAAAACAAAAAGGTCCACCAGTCACGGCGGTGGTTTTCTTTTGTCAGGTCCACCAGCAATGACGGACATCTTTTGTTCAACTTTCTCTCCTGGGAATGGTTGAAAAACATCAATATGTTCGAATATAACCCTGTAAATTGGTCGTGTTTTGTCCCGGATTGAGGCTACCCGTAATTAACACTTTAATTAAGAAACTTCTCGGCCTCTTCTACGGAAGACATAGTTGTTAAAGTGTCATCGACATACCTCTTGTAAAATTCAGGTAGGCGGAGCTGTTCTTCTATACACCCTTTTAATAAGTCCCAAGGTATTGTTTTCTCCGCACTTGACGTCAAATTTATTCTTTTGAAATTTTTACAATACAAAAGGAATTCAAAAGAATAAATTTGACGTCGAGTGCGGAGAACGTAATACCTCGGGACTTATTAAAAGGGTGTATATAACATAGAAAGCTGTTAGCTAATAGGGGGCCTAATGGGGATCCCATAGCCACCCCATCCTTTTGCTCGTAGAGGTTGCCATTATATTGGAACAGTTGATCTTTGGTAGCTACAATCCTGGTCATTTTACGCGGGACATTGTAGCATGTCACTATATTAATTTGACAACATGACCAACAGTTGCTACAATACCCTGCCCCCCGGCCCCCTGTACAATGTTGGGTTCCTATTTTCATTTGATTTTTCATGCTTCAGTACCATGACATAATGAACAACGCCAACATTGACCGAGGGGGGGTGGGGGAGGGACTGTAAGGTAGTGTTGTCAGTAGAACACTAAGAATGTGTGTTTTGTACTGTAACAGTTCATCGTG